CTTAAACTTATCTTAAACTAGTCGTGACGAACTCACCTTCGTCTGCCATTATTCATCAGGTATCAAGCGACCTTGAACTTTCCTTTTCAGTTAAGTTAGATTCAATGTCACCTGTTTATGAATCGAAAGAGGGATTTTATCAGTAAAGACGAAACACTAGTACAACGTTCTCAATTCATTGACAGAGAGGTAGTGCACATTGGAACCAAGCAAACCTTCCCCGGCCCCCCACCCCCCACACTCGCACACACACCTCTCTGCGCCGTTCAGTTACTCAAGTAAAGTGGAATGAATTTCGTCCTAAACTAAGATTCTTGAATTTGAAATAACAAAGCTCCGATGATTTAATAGCCGTCTTATACAGTTCTCTGAATAGTGGCCGCCACTATATTTTGGCCAAAAGAAAGATAAGTTTTGACGTAACTCAGCTTACCTTGAAAGTTAGGACTTGAAACGGACGCCATTGTCATGATGTTGCCGCGGGATTCACTCACTCAGACCCGCTACACGTCAAAATGACCTGTTCTGCATGCTCGACGTTATAGAAAATTGTTCGCAAGAAAGCAGGTAAATACTGTTTCCATTTACAGCAAAACCTCAAGCGCCATATTTCCCTCGGAGTGTTCAAACCACTCCGCGTGATAACGGGGTGGTGAAAAATTAACTAAATTTGAAATTCAAATGAGTTCGTCACCGGGTAGTTTGGACGAGCTGTAAAGGAACAAAAGATTCAATTATCTCAATAGTGGTCAAGTGCGTGCATTTCAGAAATAGCATATTCTTACATCGATAAATTTACGCTTTGGCCTTCTCTCTGCTCTAAATCAGATGGAGGAAGAAGAGGCTGTCTATTAAAGTATGTTTTCGAGGTAGACAAATTTTAGTCCGACATCTTGAAGCGTTACAGCGTGTAGACAGAAAAACTGCCTTTATGATTGAGAGGTCATAATAAATTCCGAATCATTGACGTCAAAGTAATATTCCCAGTAAGTGCGCATGTTCAGTCTAATGAACAAGGAGGCTGGGAACAAGATTTGTTCAGCTTTTCGCGATTCGAGTGAGTGTGAACCTGAAATGAGACCCTTTACGCTTATGCGGACCTATACGCGTTTTCAGACTCATGTATGGGCGTTTGCAACGTCGCGTTTTTTAGTTGATAACGTCGGTTCACACTACTGTTAGGCAGTTCCTTCCAACAACAACAACAACAAGATATTTGGTTTTTTTCCGAAATATTTCGCGAATAGCGTCACTCGTTACTTGCGCGTGTAGAAAGGCAACATGTGCGGGAGTCACGTGATATGCGCAACGTCACTTTTTCTAAGCGCTTCGTGGTTGCTAACCTCGCTGATAATACAAAGGGGCTCCTATAGGGTTCAGATCTGGAAATTTTGGATTGTTTCATTGCAACAGATGGGAAAAACGTTTCAAAAAGGAATACTTATTAAAACTTAGAGATATAGTATGTAGACGACGTCCTAATTTTCGATATCGTTAAGAATAACCTCGTCTATCAAACTCCATATTTTCTATATGCCCCAGTCTGTTGCACAAACCTTGATCATTTCCCACGAGGACAAGTTTATTGTATTTCTTTGCAAGAGTGTTTTTTGTTTGGATGTTTAGACAGGATCGAAGACTGTCTAATCGTGAGTGAAACTAAAATAGCGATTAAAATTCCTTCTGAAAATCTAGTAAGGGGCAGAAGAAAGACGAGAGAGCCACAATGAGGCTTTTATTCTATTCAAAATTTTAATGTATTATCAAGGCTGTAAAACTTGTAAAAGTTTAGTACGGACTTAAAATTTCACAAAACTTGCATCGAACTTTAAATACTTTTCTTTGCTTTTGGAAATTCTGGACATAAAAACGTTTATTTTTTTTCGTTGAGAGTTCCAGTCATGACCCCACTTTCAATTTCAGCGTTCAGTTCTTGGACCACTGTCATGTGATCGAATTTATCCGGGAAGATGTTGAAGGTTTTGAGGATTTTTTCTCTGCGGTCACTTTCCGAAGCGTAGTACATCTGAACTTGGTAGGCGAGCCACTGAGCGTCCAACACGCTCTGTATTTTAAAAAAAAAAAACAAAAAACAACCAATTAGAATCAACATCGGCACAGAGGGCCGATAAGAGTCGAGGAAGATACACGTCAATGGCGCCAAAAGTGATCCCAAAATCAAACCAGCCAATCTTAACTAATGCATAAGCAAAAGGAGCCAATAAGAATAAAGGCTGTTAATGCATTCACAGGCACCGAGCGCCAAACGCGGTAAAAAACCGCTGGCTTTTGGTTTAAGAACATGGTGTGTTCTTGTCAAAACTCATCTCAAGACGTGAAACCGAAAACAGCTAAAAATAGAACGCTTTTCGATAGAATGTCGTAAAATCAAAACCAAAGTAATCGTAGAGGCGAATCGGAAGAAAGGGAATAACTTTAAGTGTGAATCAGAGCTAAAAGCAAAGACAACTAAACTGCCTAAAGCGCGGGAAAACGCAGGCGACCAAATCTTGATAAGCTTTAGTTTTGTATCTGATTGGTCGAGAGGGTGGCGCTTGTCACCTAGACCAATCACATAGCGAAGTAAACCAAAACCAATACAACCTCTGATTACATTCGACACTCAATGGACAGTTGCTCTAAAAGGGCGATTTCTTGAAAGAACAAAAGGGTCTCTAAGTAGTTACTCTTTGCAGTAAATGGTTTGCTCTTTCCTGAATTTTCTCTGAAATCAAGTACGTTTTTTTCGGGAAACAATCACTTAACTGAAGTCACTAAATCGCGAGAAATTTATTAAAAAATCAACCATGTTTTTTTTAACCTTTACGATTTGTAATCTGCTTTTTTACTAGACCAGGCACTTTTCTGTCCTATTCGATTTCATAGTAATTGAAAAAATACCAAAAAAAAAACATTTGGTGGATGTCACTCACTTACCATTTCATTTGTATCAATTTCTCCAACCATCAACACTATTCCTGTAACAAAAAGAAGGAAAGTAAATCCATCGTGTAACAACGTCTTCAATTCTTCGGTTTCTTCTAAAGAAAGCAAAGGAGTTAACCAGTTTTATCAGCCACATTACAGAACATAATAATATACATGAAAAAATTTCTCACTTTTGATTGGTTAAGATGAATGCAGTTTTCAGTTAATTCAGTGCAGAAGAGAGTTAATTCAGTGCAAAGAAAGAAACAAACCAGACATTCTGATTGGTCAGAATGATTGGTCAATGTCAATGTCAAGGTCAATGTGAACGTCAATGTCACTTGCAGTTTGAATAAATTATTTTTGCACATTATGCATGTGCTCTTCTTCTGCATAGTTATGAGAAGCTACCTCGTATTTTTTCATGTATATTATTAATACATAATCACATGATTTTCTCGTGCAATTTGGAATAAATAATCACTTGTAAATTTTTTCAAAGATCACAAATTGCACTCGCCCTACGGGCTCATGCAATTTTGTTAGTCTTTGAAAAAATTTACTCGTGCTTATTTATTCCAAATTGCAGTCGAAATCATGTGATTACCTATACAAATTAAAACCGCCGACCTTTACTTTCCCTGATGTCTGTAAAATGTTTAATAGCTAGAGACCAAGGTGCATTTTCGCCTCGCGTCTGCGGAAAAAATTACATGGATTAGAACACTTTTCCTTTGAGAGCAAACATATTAAAACCAAAGTACTCCCAGGAGCCAGTCAGAGCATGGATGATATCCCAAGGAACCAATCAGAAGTCAGAGTATACACACATCACCAGCCAAAAGAGCGGGAAAACGCGTTGACCTAGTTGCAGGTCAACGTGGAATTCACGATTGTTTTCGACACACCAATCTTGGATGATTGTTTTCAATCATACCTCGAGAAAAGTCATCTCTTCCTCCACAAATTTTTATAAGGGTACAAAGCATAATCATAAATTCGTGAGTTACTCTTACAAAATAGTTGTATGCAGCTCAGATATTTCTATCCAAACACCTATTTCAAAGCCTCTCAAATTTATCATTGATAATACTAGCAGACACTGCGCACGCTTGCATTCTATTGGTTGATAACTGCTCGCGCGCTTTCATCATTTTGGCTTACAATTGCTTTAGCACTTCTACCTCATTGGCTAGTAATCACGTACGCAAAAATTCGGTTTGTTACGTCATAATCGATAGATTTTCTCTCAGTCAAAGCAATGATCAAGGCAAAGAGACGTTCTTGATCATAAATTTCTATAAAACCCTCTTTAAATTGTTGTACACTGGTAAGAATTTAAAATGGGAGTTAGTGTGAGTTATTACCAATCCAGGGAAGAAGATTACACTGAGGCAAAAAGGTACGGAAAGGCAGTTTGGGGACATTTTTTTCCGTGATAAGTTCAGACGGTACATTTAACAACGGTTCTGTTGTTTTGCAGTAATACATGTAGAAAATCAAATCGCTTTTTCCAAATGAAGAATAAAGTTCTTCCTTCTGAAAAAACCGTCAATCTTCAAGAAATCAAGCTTAATATGAGCGAAGAATGGAAGCTGCCAGATAAGAAATAAAGGTACGATGATATCAGAATAATTCCTTTAATTTCCGTTTGCTTATTTCAGACAAGAGATCATTCTTGACTTATCTCCAGTCCTTATACTATCATGTAATGAACTGATCGTCGTCGAGCGAGGAGAATCATGAAAACTGTTGTTAGAGGGCATTTCTGATGAATTTCTTCAAAACAGAAGAACCAAAGAACTTACATCAGCCAATCAGAACAAGGGAAAATGTTACAGAAAGCCAATAAAAACTCACAGTAAAAACAAGGAAAATCCCAGAAGCGCGGGAAAGCGCGGGCGACCAAGTCACGATTGGTCCACGTTTTAAGATAAAGCGCGGGAAAACGCAAGTGACGCAATTTGTCTTCGTTTTGATTTGTATTGGTTGAGAGGTTGGCGGGAGATTTCTAAACCAATCACAGAGCAGTGTACTGAGCGGGAAAACACAAATGATTACGTCGCAATACGTCCACGTTTTGATTCTTCCTGGTTAAGAAGTTTACAGTTACAATTACACTGCAGGGTAAAGCAAAACCAACTAAAACCCAGATTACATTTACATGTAGCACTCCATTGAAAAGAAATACTCTACTTCAGGCCTGCAATCTGAGCAAAATAATTGAAGAGGAGGATAACGATGACAAAAACGCATATAAACTGTCCACATGGCTACTGATACTTCTAAGGTAACTCAAGTAGCTACAAAGTAAAGTTATAAAGGCACAACAACGATTCTTGCTTACTTGATAATGGAGGAGAGAAGTGAAATAACACTTGTGGTCTTTGAACTCAGAATACATGTACTCATATCCCTGTTTTCTTGGAAGAGGATAAAGGAACTGAAATAAAACAAAGTTGAGTGGATGTGCTGAGGACAATATTCTGACTGCTGCATGTATTAAAACAATATGAGTTATTGCAAAAGTGCATATCAACAAAAACAGTACTTGGACAATGTAATTCTCTGTGACTCTATGATCATAAAGGATAAATTCTGCTAAACTATCAGGAACAGGTGTAAAATGTCATTTTTGGAAAAAAGAAGCTAGAGTCCAATGCCTTAATAAAAGTTATAATGAACTTATTGAATCAACCACAACATTTGGCTTAAATAGAGATTTTAAAACTTCTTAAATTCCAAAACAAACAAGTAACAAATTTGTGATGAAGGAAAGCTAAAAATGATTAAAACTCAACTCACAAATAAAAAACAAGAGTACACAAGTGTCCACACCAATTTCCAATATCAATGTTAGAGTCTGTGGACGTGATTGACTCGCATTTGTGAAACCATGCACATCACACGTGAATACAAAAAAGATGTACCAAGGGGGGGAGAGGAGTGGAAGAGAAAAATTGTAGTTTGAAATAAAAAAGTAACACATTTTTGAACAACAAGAAAACAACAGTCAACAGTGACAAGGGTGAAAAAAAGAGTACCTCCAATTGCCTGTTTTAAAATCAATCAAAGAGAAATCCTTAAAATTATAGTTTTTTGTGCTTAAAATACTTCCCACAGGTATGATTGTAAAGCTCATTTTTCTACATTTACCTACCAGTGGGAACTTCAGGAATCGCTCTTCCATTCTGTCATACACAGCACTCTAAATCATAGGAAAAGTTATGATCAATCATCAGTTATAATTCTGCAAATTGCATGAATGAACCACTCACAAAATGTTGTGTGAGGTTGGACCATATTAGCCTTGCTAACCCCTAATAGACCCTAACATCAATATGCTTATTCTCCACACTTTTCTCTAGTACACATTTCCAGTGGTATTAACACGGAAAGTTTGTCAAATGATCTACAGAACTTCTTTAGTTAGAGATCTTTTTTTTTTCTCAACACCTTAACCCTTTGACTCCCAGAAGTGATAAACATGCAAATTCTCCCTCCAATATCCACATAATATCCAGCAAACAGGTAATGAGAATACTCAGACTCATCACCTAGAAGTTGGTACCTTGATCTAACACCAAACTCTTGTAAAAAAATTTTGAGGAAATGTGTAGCAGCTGGAGGGGAGAATTGACAATCAAATCTTGCGAGTAAGAGGGTTTATGCTTGATTCTGGGTTGATATTGTAGGGAGAAATTAGACAGCAGTTGCTCTTAGGGGTTACGATAAATATGAAATCAATCCATGATCCAGAAGTATCACTTATCTTATCTTTCGCTCCGACAAAGGGCTAACGCTTGAAACGTCAGCTTTTATAACTGTAACAGTGGCCAATTTACCATTTCAACTTTGTTGACATATTCAAATTATCACTTATCTTGGTTTGAGATATGACAATACCACAAACAAAATGATTATATTTGACCAAAACCTATTACAATCCCCGCCATTAGGTAGAACTGTTTAAAACATTGACCTCAAAGACACAGTCAGTGTAATTAACACTTAACATTATGTAGTTTTGTTGGCTAAAAAAAAGTTTTTTTTCTAACTCACTGGGATGACAGCACTGATACAGTCTTTGTCTCTGTGATATTCTCTCCAGATCTGCAGAAATAAATTAAAGTTACTTAATACACCTTTTTCAACGGTTTAACATAAACTGCATGCAGATATTTTGCAAGTTGCATGGTTTATTTGCTAGTCAGTTGCTTTCTGATTGTAGGCATCCATGCATCTGGAACTTTGAATCCACTATCTCTATTGATTTCAGAACATCATAGCTAAAATACCGTGGCTGGTATGGACAAATTACGTACGTTATTTACACAAAACACTTGCAAACTTAATAATTTGCAGACAAACTTACAGAAAGCCAGCAAACTTAATAAAATGCACACACACTGTAAAAAGCGCTAACAAACTTCATAAAGGACATGCAAACTTAACAAAATGTGTACAAACTTAATAATGGACATGCAAACTTACCAAAATGCGTACAAACTTAATAAAGGACATGCAAACTTAACAAAATTTGTACAAACTTAGCAAAATATGTTCAAATTTTAGAACAGGTAAGTAAACTTTAAAAATAGCATGCAAAGTTAAAATGAAATGCTTTCAAACCAAAAATGAAAAGCGTACAAAGTTAAAATTAAAAACACAAACTTAAAACGAGACATGCAAACTTAATAAAACACGCACAAACTTAATATGAAACGAACAAACTAAAAATGAAATGCACACCAACTTGAAATGAAACACCTACAAACTTAAGAGCAAACACGCACGCAAACTTAAAATAGAATGTACGCAAATAAGTTTGTGTTTTTCATTTTAACTTTGTATGCGTTTCATTTTTGGTTTGTACTGTATGTGTTTCACTTTAAAGTTGCGTTCTATTTTTAAAGTTTGCATGCCTGTCATAAAGTTTGTACGCATTTTGTTAAGTTTGCATGTCCATTATTAAGTTTGTACGTATTTTGTTAAGTTTGCATGTCCATTATTAAGTTTGTACGCATTTTGTTCAGTTTGCATGTCCTTTATTAAGTTTGTTAGCATTTTTTACAGTATGCGTGCATTTTATTAAGTTTGCTGGCTTTTTGTTAAGTTTGTCCGCAAATTATTAAGTTTGCAAGTGTTTTGTGTAAATAACGTACGTAATTTGTCCATACCGGCCACGGTACTAAAAGGAACAAACAGATCTTTCACAAATTCATTGAACTTCTCACCTGTCCAATCTCTTCTGCACTTTTGTCCAGTACTTTATCCAAATGCATGATGGAGTTTAATGTCTGTAAAATGAAGAACAAAAAGAGTAATTGTTAAACTGTTACACCATAATATAAGTATCCATATTTTCTGTACTTTTCTCTATACATTTCCTTGGGTGCTGACAAGGAGAATTTCAAAGCTTCTTAGATTGGCCATTATTTTCTTTATTCTCATGATCTTCATGAATGATTCAAAAGTAATACTACAAGGTGAAATTAAATGTTGGTCACCCTTTAGATTCCAAGGGTTAAATATACTTCATTTGGGGGGTAAAGTACCAATTAAAAGTGATTTTATATGATTGACATGTTTCCTGTTGAATACCTCCAACTAGCATACTTTCATATAAATCCCTTCTGTTATCTCATGAACCAAACCAAACCTTCTGTCCATATGTTGACATTTCTCCCCTGGATGACAATGGATTGTCTTCAAGAAGTGAGCTCTGTCAATTCAAAAGAACACATACATGTAAGTGATTATGGTATACTCAAACTTATGAGGCAAAGAAATCCTTATCATGATCCAACACCAAATTACTTAGAGTTGAGAGATTTGGGTTCAAGACTAGGCTACCTCAATGTATCATGTTCATGGGCAAAACTCTTTCCCTTTGCTTGCTTCCCTCCACCAAGGAGAAAAAATGGGTACTGGCAAGCCTGACGAAAAGCTGGGAGAAGGGGAGGGGTAACCTTGCCATGGACTAGCATCCCATTCTGGGGAGAGTGGTAATAGTCCTACCTGCTTCATGCTAAGGAAACCAGGATAAGCTCAAGCTGGACAGGTCACTTTTGGTTCCAGTGCAGACTTTATCATATTGTTAAATCTGTTACCTTTTTCTGGACTTTCTTCTTGAATCTTTCAGCTTCCTCTGTAGCTTTTGTGTCAACTCGAAACTTCTCCTCTATGCTTTTGTCTTTTCTATAAAAAGGTGTGAATCTTTACCCACGTAGCATCAAGTTACCTTATCTTTACCCACATAGCATCAATTTACCCATGTAGCATCAAGGAGCTCATAGAGCTCATTTGAAATACGTACATGCCTCAGACTAAGAATCTAAAAAAAACCTAATATATACTGTCAAGACCTAAAAGATTAGAAATTGCAATAACTTAAAATTTAAGTTTGTGCAATGAAAGAACCTTTTAATCCTTTCTACCCACACATCAGTTTCCATATTCTCCTTACTTTCCTCTATACATTTCCTTTGGTACTGACAACGACGCAGTACTGACACAACACCACAGTTTCTTTCCAAACTTATCAGGACTCGACACTAACTCTTCAACTGAACTTACTAGCCGAGTGGCTAGTGACAGCTTAGATGTTACAACAATTTCAGTTTGTTTACCAGCCAAACTGGCTGGTGAAAATCAAAAACCACTCGCCAAAACTGAATTTCTACTAGTCTGTCGCTAGTTGGCCACTGTTACTGTCGAGCCCTGAATTATCAACCACGAACACATAGTGTGGTCTGCCTGTGCTAGCACTATTCAAAAACAAAGCTGTAGTTCCAATTTCGCCATTATTTCCTCTATTTAAGAAGTGTACGCATAACGATGTATAGGGATGTTCGTAAATGTTCCCCGTAAAATCAGCAATTCTCTTGTTTTCTTGCTCATATTTTGCACAACAATGACTACTTACAATCTGCCCTCTTTGATCTCATTCCTAACTCTCTTGATTCTCTCCGCGTATTTATCGTAAAAAGGATTGGATTCAATTTCATCACTTGTGGAGAAAACAGCTTCCGATGCTGAAAAAAACCTTATTTTTGCATTGGTCCCAATCTGAGACCTGAATCCCTGTAAAAATGTGGTTGTTTTCATGAATTTTCTTACACACGAACAAATACGAACGGTGGCAGCCATGTTGGATTTGTCGTGTACACACTGGTGTAAAACCCACGGATTATAACTCCAACACCCACCTTCGACGTACCCTTGCCTGGCTGGGGAAACTCGTTTTTGCAGTGGGTGAGTACGTCACGATTTTGTCAGTCATTTTAGCAGCATGAAGACTAATTTTAAAGGAAGAAAGAAGTTATTTCGCAAACACAAACAACAAAAATTTACTTGAGACAAAAAAAAAAAATAAATAAACGACAATGGTTCGGTATGGCGAAGATTGGCACAGATTGTGAATGACAACTTGAAAAAAATCGCCTTTAATTTCCCAGGTTACACAAACCAAAGAAGAACTCATTTGGCGGTGCACATCTTAGACTGCTCTTTTCGTCCATAAGAGAAAATATGTGCATTTTTTCTCGAAATAAATATATCTTATTAGACGTTTTGTTGTATAGTATCGCTGAGCATTTTTACGAGTTGCGCCGTATTTTGACGAGCCAGGAGGGCGATTCAAAATACAAACAACGAGTAAAAATACTCAGCGATACTACGCAATAAAAAGTTGAATAAGAGATTCGCTACCCAACAGGCCAAATTTTTATTTCAGTGCGGGCGAATTTCGCGAATATTCATGGAGTACAAATAACGCGTGATATTTGTGCTCGCTCGCGCGTTATTTGTACTCTAGTAAGCACATTTGGATAATCATGAAAGATAAGAACAGCGCCGCTGGACTGCAGCTATCAAAGGCAAAATTTGAGTCGCCACCCCTCTCTGACATTACTATCTAATTCCTCTTCAGTATCACCCCCTGGATCACACATTAAGGTCACGAGAATAAAAGAAATGATCACCAACTAAAAAAGCTCTTGATTGTTAGCAAATTCTCCTAGTCAGCGCCTTGAAAAATGTATGGAGAATAGTATGGAGAATACATATACTGATGTCAGGGTGTAAAAGTTCACAATAGCACAATTTTTTTTACCACCCACCTTGGGACAAGTTATTGGGGATACTACCTTGAATTGATCACACCTTACTTTGGTGAGAGACGTTCAAGAAGGATATCATGTAACAGATATCTTTATGCAGCTTCATTTAATACTACTCAATATGGCCTACTGTCCCTAAAATTCAGTGGCCCTCGCCTTTGGAATTCCTTACCTACAAGTATAACTAATTCAAAATCTCTTAGAATATTTCGTAAAACCCTGAAGAACTCTATACTTAATTGTTATTTCTTTTAATTATCTACCTTAGTGCATGAAGTAATACTTTTTATAAAAAAAAAAAAAAAATCTATTCTTAATTCTGTCTTTAACTGTATTTTATAATAGGGATCATCCACTAGATTAGCTTTTGGTATTTGGATGATCCTAACTCGCTACCTACTTTATTGCTAATTTTTTTTCCTTATTCCTTTGCTGTACTGTGTTTAGTTGCTATGTTAATTTAACTTACATATCTTGTAAAACCGAGAGGAGTTAAATAAAATCATCATCTCAAGAAAAAACGCGCACTTCAAACAACGTTGTTTTTATCGTTAATAAGATTGCTTATACGTTAAGTCCGCCTCACTAATCGGGATGGAATGAGTTTCATACTTGACACACAGCATGATATCTATTCCCAGGACAATAAAAAATGACATGTCACTTTTCTGCTCACCGAAATCATTTGAAAATAGTAAGAGTTACCATGATAAAGGTTCTTAAGATAAAGACTGAACGTGACAGCTTCCGGTCACATTTCAGTAACAAACTAGAAAACAATACGCATTTGAATTGGTAATTTTAACTTAAACGCACACACTTTCCCTATACTTAATTCAACTGATAATTATGACTAAAAATTATAACGATAGCATGGTCCCGCAGGTAATCAAAACTAACCTCGCTGGGGTATGCATGTGCAGAACTTGACTTGAATAACTTAATTTCCTCTCGTTTTAGTTAACCAGCATAGCATTATAGCGTCAGATTTGTATTTATTTACTTTTTTTTTTGTTTGTTTGCTTTATTCTGTTTATTTTGTTTTTTGTTTTGTTTTGTTTCTAGGGGAAGGAGGGGAGGACTGCACACTGCCTACAGCGAGACCATAGTAGAGGCCCGCAGAGCTAAGACGAGATGTGTCTCACTGAGATACAAAGTCGTATTTTTCTTTTAGCTTTAGTTCCTCACAAAACGTTCTGGATCGGCTACTGCATTGTGGACCTTTTCTTACTAATTTCCGCAAATTCCAATTTCAATAAACTTGAATATTACGATGTTTGTGAAAAATTCGTCATTACCGACCCCCGTAGTTAATTTTACATGTATTCAGCGCCACATTTAACAACATAATAGAAAAATATAACCTAACGTAATATAAGCACGCGATAACATATCCGTTTGTGAACATAAGAAATTAAATAGGCGACCTACGGTTTCTGAAGCGACCGTTGGTCGGATAGAATTAGTCCTTGTCGTTCCCAGACCTCTCGCTTCAATCCTCTTATCCCTAAGAGCGACTGCCATGTAATTTCTTCTTACAGTACCACCCCTAAATCAAATATTTAAGCCACGAGAATAAAGGAAATGATGATAAGCAACTAAAGAAGCTCTTGATTTTTAAACAAATTCTCCTTGTCAGCACCTTTC